CCCCGAAAAGTAACATTGAAGCTAACATACAGTTGTTTTTTTTTAAGTTACAAATGACTCCTTTCACCTTCTCTCCTTTTTAAGGCAATGTCCATTTTTTTTTTATTTTCAGTCTATAATCCAAAAAAGATGTGGTCTTGGAGTCATACAGCAGAAACAGATCCTTTGGTCTAACTCGTTCATGCCAACCAAATTACCTAAACGAAACTAGCCCCATGTACCTGCTTTTGGCCTGTATCCCTCTTAAACCGTTCATGTATTTGTACAAATGTCCTTTAAATGTTGTAAGTGTACCTGCATCTACACTTCCTCTGGCAGTTCAACCTACATACAAAACACCCTCTGTGTGAAAAAGTTGACCCTCGGGTCCCTTTTAAATCTTTCACCTCTCACCTTAAAAATATGCCCCCTAGTTTTGAACTGCCCCACCCTCGGAAAAAGACCTTTGCTATTCACCTTATCTATGCTGCTCATGATCTTATAAACATCTATTAGGATACCCCTCACCCTCCCACACTCCAGTGGGAAAAGTCCCAGCCTCTCCTTATAACCCAAACCCTCCAGTCCTGGAAACATGCTGGTAAATCTTTGAAAACATTTGAAAACATATCGGGATTTCTGTACAACCCCAGCTCTACCTTACCATAGTCTTCCTTGATCCTATCAGTGTCTCTAATTTCTTAAACTGACATCTAGTGCTGAATGACTAGATACATCCTCTAAGTAAAACTTGGAAAGGCTAAAACCATTGCCTGTGGTCCTATAACAAACTTGGCTCCCAGGCCACTGTTTGAGCGGAATTGGACCATTCATAACTTTGTTGCCATATTTGACTCAAGATGTGGACTCCAGGTCGACATTTGCATGAAGACGAGTCCCTTCCACCTTTATAAGTGTTGCTGACTCTGTGTGTACCTCAGTTTACTATGTTTCCCTTGGTGCCACCTTTCAGGAGGTCATGTTGAGACCAGGTTTCGCCAGGAGTCATTGATTTGAGCTGGGGAAAGGAAGCAGGGAATTGAGATGTTGTTGGGAATATTGTATGGCTCCCAATAAACAGATGAGCAGCCTGACACATGCTGACTCCATAGTACCACCTACATAGGGAATGACAGCATCACCCTTGAGCAAACTTTGGCCAACCTTTTCCCAATTCCATCAATGGACAAACTTGGTGCTAAATTCCTGAGTTTGGTGGTGGGAGCGGAGAGCTGTTGGGATCACAGGTGTATTGCTCATAACTGCTCATTTCTTAATTTCAATGGCTAGTGAACCTTTACCAGCCTGCTCTAGATACCAGTAACCAACAGAAGGGTCTCATGCCCTGAATCCAAGTAATCCCGTGTGTCATTCTCTGTTACCAGGTCTGTAATGGGGCTGAATACCTGAAGCTTCCAGTGGAAGAGATGCGACAAGCTGTCCAGTCGAAAGCTTGCTCAGGGAGAGCAATGTGGACAGGTAACCCAGTGTGCTCGTCGTGATGGGGTGGTATCTAATGATGTTTCCTCAAGTGGAGGTTCCCAGAGTTCTGGTACAGAAGACAGATTGTGATGAGGCCTGACACTGATGAGGTTTGAGTGTTGCTTTGAGGGTCTGGTGCAGAGAGAAACTGAAGTGCAATTATTTATAGACAAAAGCAGAAATTGCTGGAAAAGCTCAGCAGGTCTGGCAGCATCTATGGAGAGAATCA